TGTGGTGGCGCGGAGGGGGAGGACGGCCGGTATCGGGGTGTGCAGGCCTCGGAATAGCACGTCTGTGTAACCCGCTCCACTGATGAGAGGGATTCCTTCCGCCGCTGAGCAGAGCCCGGTGCCGGATTTGGCGCATGTGTCTGTATTATCGGGAGGAGTGGGGGCAGGAAGGGTATTTGTCTTTCCGAGGCAGCCGTGTTGGTTATTTTTATAGTCTGCAACATCCATCTCTTCATTTTCATCTTCCTGCAGGCATGTGAGAACTAGCATGGCTGTAGGTACTGCAGCTGAAGAAGAATTACACGTGTAATGCAGAAATCGCATTGAATATTTAAACAAAACAGTACAAAGCCAACCTTTAGTTTGTGAACTATAAAATGTGTCATTTGTTTGGAAGCACAAATATCTGACTTTAATTTCTGTTTAGTTTTAGAATGGGGAATGATCAGACTACTGTGGGATTGTCTAATGATGCTGTTGTCAATCAAATACAGGTAACATAATTTATGCAATTCTTTTTTTCAACAGGTCCAAAGGATATAGTTACTTTAAAGCTCTTCTGATTCTTACAATGAAATTCTGTAAATAGCTGTGCATGTTGAACCTGATTCTTACATTTAATAAGTAATACCGGCAGCATTATTTATCCACAGCCCTGGAACCTGATCTTCCTAGGCTGGATCCATTTTACATCTTTTGCAGACCTCTACTCAAATTCAGTACTGGGGACTAAATCTTGTAAAATATCTCCATAAGTGAAGTTTAAACATTTAAAGAATAAGTTGTTTTTTAAAGTAAATTTCCTGATACTAAACAAGAGCCTGAAATGACTTTGAATTTACAGTAAAATAAAAAGGTGTGGTTGGTCCGAAGTTCAGTCCTTGGAACTTCAGCCTAGCGGCCACCTCAGCACAAAGCACTGCTTTTCATAGCCAGTTTATAAGAAAATTGCAAGGTCAGGTATTTAAGAGGAAGAGCACTCTGTAGGGCATTGAGTACAATTTCCGCAGGGGTGGGAAAAAAATACCCCTTTTGTTATTCTGCTTGCCACCAGCACATCCTGCTTGCCTGATGGACAGGGAAAGCTGTGCTAAATAGTTCAAGGAGATGCAGCTTGTTTGGCAGATTGTAGGAGGTCTGTGACTGCAGAGCAAAAGCGGGCTCAGGGTTGGCACCATTGCATGACAGTCATACCACATGCCTCGCAATCATTCTGCTCCCTTTTGGAGTCAAGGCCAGGTCAGACACAGCTTCACAAGTGCCAGCAGCGCTTCTCATAGAGATTGTTAATGCCAACTCTCCTATTTCTCTGCTCCCGCAAGATCATAGCATTCCTGAAAGTCAGATACTGCTCAGTTTTACCTGATTCCAGGTATTCTACTCAAAGAAAAGAGCATACCTTTTACTGAAAAGCTCAAGTGGAGCAAGAGAAGTCACTGTTATCTTCCATGTCGTTCTGAAAACTGCTGAAGTTGCACCTTACTGCTTACTGCACTTGTGCAGACACTCTATAGGATCTGGGCAAGTGCCTCTGAAAGCCTGACTTTCTTAGTAGTCGGGTAGGAAACAATTTTTAATCTGATGCAGAAGTATGGAATGCATCCCTAAAGGAGGTGTTAGGCCACCACAGAGGATTCAGGACTGATGTAGAGAGGATATTATTTTACACTGTCCATACAAGTGATCCATCTTTTGAACAGATGCCTTGATAAAGGAAGTTGCTGTTCTGCTCCTTGTTTTTAAAGAGTAATAGTTCATTCCTCACCTTAAGATTCTTGTGGCTCTAGGTTAGAATTGGGGGAAATTTAGAAGCTGAACTAGCTTTTCACTTTACCTTAAAAAGCAAGAAAAAAAGTACAGTGTTTTGGAAGACAATTCAATAGTAGCCAGCCCTTGCTGTAGCATGGCTGGGAAGTCCTCAGTTGTCCCTGTTAAAAATACTTCAGAAAGCCTTTTACAGAGTAATTTTCCATTATTTGTTACTGAAATAGTAGATTTTTACTTTCTGCATTTATTTTCATGACTGCTTGATACTGCTGAAATACACTGACTTAAAAACAAACACGCTGACTTCAACATTCTTTTGAGCATACAGGAGATTATTTCAGATAACTGCGTGGTGATTTTCTCCAAAACAACATGCTCCTACTGCAGAATGGCAAAAAATCTCTTTGACAGTATAAATGTGAATTACGCAGCTGTAGAACTGGACATGAATACAAATGGAAGTCAGTTCCAAGACGTTCTTGAACAGATGACTGGTGGCAGAACAGTAAGTATATGTTCTTACATGTAACAAACAAAGTTAAGAACTTACACTACACTTCTTTCTCATGACTTACGACCATATCAAGTTCTTCAGTTTTTCCAGACAAGTAAACTTGGGATACAAGCTCCTAAATTAAAGACAGGGTACTGCAGAAGGGTTCTGTACTGCCTCTTCCTATGGAGACCCTCACCCTGAGGGTGCCACTTTGAGATATCAAAGTCAGTTTTCATTTGTAGAGGTGTACATACATTGTGCTTAACACCTTGTAATTTCTTCAATTAATAAAGTCTCACTTGACTCAGTTATTTTAATACAGTGATTTTATGCCTCCCTCTTTTGAGGGGCATGTGAACAATTTCCGATCTCTGTAAATATTACAGAAATGTATGAGTTGTACAGTAGTATTAAATCTGCATATGTAAGAACTCAGCTGTTGTGTTGTACTACAGTCCAGCGGGGTCGCTTAGATTTTTATCTTTCATCCAAGAAGTAACTAACACAATTTTCATTTTCTTGATAGGTCCCAAGAGTGTTTGTCAATGGGTCTTTTGTTGGAGGTGCTACAGATACTCAAAGGCTTCATGAGGAAGGCAAACTGCTGCCATTAATTGATCAGTGTCAGGTGAAAAGTAAATCCCAATCAGCCATTTAGCTTAGCTTAGTCTTCCTTTGTATAAACAGAATTTCAGGCAACTTCGAAGATCATAGATACACGCTATATCAACTGAACTCAACAACTTCAAGCCATGGATTTCCAAATCATAGATCATTCTCTGACACAGATGCTTTATGGAATTGGCAAATTACTTGTCTCAGCTTTACAACAACCAAAAAGGTGATCAAAACCACTGTGTAACTCTCGGGGCTCTAAGTGTGAGAAAGTGATGTCATTTTGTTGCTGTTATATCCTGATGCTGTGTTTTAGAGAAGCATTAATTGTACAAGAGGAATCCTGTATTTTTTCTGCTGCAAATTAGTTTGCATTCTAGCTTTGTTCCAATGGTCAGTTTAATTTAGTGGTTCTTTTGAAGTAAATTCTCTGAATGTCAAATTGTGATAACGATGAAAGTATGAAGCAAAACAAGTTTGTAGTGACACTGCTGTATGCATGTCTGCCTCTTCTATATCAGCATCTGATAATCTATTAAATTCTATGTCCAATTGCTAGAGAAAAGGGAATAAAGATTCTTGCAGTATTTGAGGGGTAGGTAATGTCTTTCATCTTTATTCTGCACTATGAAGTATCAGTCTATACAGTGTCATTTAGAAATACACTTCTAGAGGAGTCAGCTCATTATCACTAAAATCTGCAGCTGCAAACTGTGTTACCGTCAGTTCAATGCTCTTATGAAACTTAAGACCAAGTAAAATAAGTCTAATATGCATAGAGTTTATTTAGTTCTTGAATTCTACAGTCAGAATGCAGTTTACTAGTGATTTTAACTTGCAGTTAAATGCCTAAAACATCTCAAATTCAACAACTTCAGTACAATACAAATCCAAAGCCAGACCAGGCAATGCCAAGACTTGGTTATTTCAAGGAAGTTCATACACAAGTAGAAAATTACATCCCATTCTTCAGTAAAAGGGACCATTACATTACTAAAGGTGCACAGTTTAGAATACAAACATTAGTCAAAGAATTCTTACTTCTGGTAAGACTCCTTTTTTTTCCATTGCTTTCAGTGCTGTTTGCAGCTAAGTTACTTTTTTCCCTCAAGGGAAAAAAGAGTCACATTTATCTTCAGGTAACTAGGACTGTAAAAGTATCATTTAAATCTGACAGGTTCATTTTTGTGATGGGGGTTTGAAATAAGTTTAAATGACATAATTTGTACAAAGTCTGTAGTATACAGTTGGCTGCATTGTGCATCTTTTAACGTGTTAATCAGCTAATTAGACATGTTAATGTTGGTTTCATCACTGCCTTAATAAAATTTTGTTTAGAAGGATACACTCGTCATGCTAACACATACAAGTGTGCCTCTGTCCCTAAATTTATACTTAATAAAGCAATTTATTTTGCACATGCAGTGGTAACCATGTATTCTTTGTGTAGAATTCTTAGGCCAGTTAATGTTTTCTCAGATTAACAATAATTTTGCACCTGAAAGCTGGTAAGTCCATCATGTAAAAATAGTAGTACACAAAGGATTTTTTCAAAGACCTTTTCATTCTGTTTCCTGTTTAACAAAAAAAACCAAAACCAAACCAAAAGAATAGTCTAAAATAACTCTTGAGTTCTAAATTTCAGAAATCCCAGGGCATTGCATTGTCACTTAAGGCAACACTGTATTCCAGCTGATGGGAAAAGATGCTGTATGCCTGCAAATCCACGTGAGTGCTCCCTACCCAGATAGTTTCATTTCTCATTAATTTTGTATCTATTCATAGAAAGTAGCAGCAAGACAGTGCCTTAATTATTGGATGGCACAAAGCCACAACTTTAAAGTTATTTAAACAAGATAATGGCAGTTAAAGTGTGGTTCTACTCTAGAAAGAAAAAAAAAAGGGGGCAGAGAGACTAAAAAATAGTAATTCAAATTTCCCATGGGTTTTGCTTAGCAATGTCTCCAGGACAAAGCTGTTCATCTTAAAATAATGCCTGCCCTGGGATCTGAATGTTAAAAATTACCAACTAAAAGATTCTGCACTTAAACTTCAGACATACCTGCTCATTCAGCTTAAATACCATTATCCTAAAGAAGCCTGAGAAGCTGGAAACATCAAGTTACTGAACCAAGCAGATAGAGCTGTGAATGTACCCATCTGTTGCTTCTTCATAGAGAATTATTTTTAAAGAACAGAACTGCACTTTTATGGGAGAATGTGATAGGAAAGACATTTTATTTGTAACTAGTGCTTAAAAGCTTGTAACATTAGGAAAACAGCTATTTATATTCATTATTTGTTGATGAAGCATTTGTAAAATTCTCAACATACCACATATATATGCAAATACATATATTTAAACTCAGAATGCAGAAATACCTAAAGAACCCACGCCTTACAGTATCAAAATAATAAATCCAAAAGTAAGCACACATATTTAAAAAGACACCAAACCTGCTGAAATTGGCTGATCTGAAATCTCAGTTCAGAGCAGCACACCCATGATACACTGTCCTAGCGTTTTACTTTTTCCCCATAACTCCTACTCAGCGATTTCCTACACTGTACTGCACCATGATAAGATGAAATCTCTACCATCCCAGCAATAGTCATTAAAACATCTTTCTTACAGTGTGTTTGTCTACTGCGAACCACGGCAAATAGCAAAATAACCCTATAAACAAATTAAATGCTTAAAAAAAAAAAGATTAAAAGCAAAAGCAGGACAAATGATTCTTTGCTTTGGTTTACGTCTACAGCCCATTCTTTGAAGATTTTCTCTTTTACCACAAAGCTGCCCATTTGTCCAGAGTATTAATTGAAATGTTTCCCTAATTCTGCATATTACAGAATGGAAAGCTCCAACCCACTGAACTAATTCTAGAAAAAAAAAAAGCTTTAAATTTGAAAAGCCAGTTTTAAGTGGTTACTTTATAAAAATAAAGCCGTTCACAGGCAGATGTTGGATTTTTGCAAATAACCAAAGTATATTTTTGTGACTGATCTTTACACGAAGTTTTAGCAAAAATCTAAACATACAGCAAATTAAATGTTTTTATTAGAGATTAATATAATCAAATGTACCCAGTTTTTAAAAATTAAGATAAATATTATGACATCCATTCTTGTGTAAGTTACTTAGCTCAGCATGGTCAATAACAGCAAGGCTATGGAAGAACAGAGGCAAAAGAAAAAAAAAGAGTGGATGAAAGCTTGTATGTGAAAAGAGATTCAAGTGTAGGCCTGAGGCGACAAGGAGATTGGGAAAGGAGGAAAAAAGCCAACCTAAACAGAAGAAAGGGCAAAGCAAACAGGTAACACAAGAAACACAATAAATGGAATCAATACAAATGCTTCTGGTACAGTGGCCGAGTTAGGTACATGATTAAGCAACACAGCATTTTGCAATGGAGAAAAGTATTTTCCTAGTGTTTTTACAGAGCCTTTATTAAAATACATTTCCAAAACTGCTGGTGTATTTTTTAAGCCAAGAACATATACTTGTTGAATAGCCTTTTAAAGCAATAGCCATTTATGGTCCACAATTGAATTACAACACCCCCCCCCCCCAGTGATTCACATTTAACAAACAGGTTTGACAGTGGTTTTAAGCAGCAAGGTGTTTTAGGGCCAATTATGAGCGGCCCTCACATACTGGGCACTTAGGCTGGCCCTGCTGACTTTAGGTCTACACCTACTTTTAGACTTCTGTTTGTTAACACAGGATTGTACATAAGGACCCCATACTGTGCCTGGAATCTAATTCGGCAGGTATCACAAACACTCCTCCTTGCTGGAGGTCTAAAATTCCTGGCATGAAATTCTATTTCTTCGCAAAATTATTCCCATCTTTATTCAATTTATTACACAATGCTGATGTATGCATTGCATGTTTTTTAAGTAATCTTGAGCGCCTTCTACCCTCTCCACATTCTTGATTGTCTCCCTTCCGTGAAGAAACCTGACCTTTGATTTTCAGTCCTTACAGCCCTTCTTAAGACAAGAAGGTTTTGCCTCTCCTGTGCTTCCATCCAGGAACTGGTCTTCTTTCTTAAAGCTAAAGTGCTAGAACATTACAGTCTTAGACGTAATAGTCTAATAAGAAGTGTTAAGGGTGTCACAGTGAAATGGCAGCCAAACTGAAAGCCTATTAGTTCTGTTAGGTATCAGGAAACCTGCATTCACTCACTCTACAGTTGCACTCTGCATTTAGACTTTTTTTTTTTTTTTTTCTTTCAACTTGTCCCTGTTCGGTTTTTACTGGCAAGCTGCAGTGCACAATTATAGCCCCTTTTTGCTTTGTTAGTCAGTGTTCCTCCAATGCAAACAACACTGTTACCTTGAAAGAGTCAGAGTCTCCTCTCTGGCGAAAGGGTAGGTTAGTTGTTATACACTGATCTAATGCTTAAGCTCAGCAACTTCGTTTTACCGCTCTCTGTCTTTTTAACAGCATTACAGTACTTAGTGCCTTTTTACATGGCCAGATAAAATTTTGGAAATTATCAATTATCAATCTAATAACTAAAGACCAAAATCAGGACAAATTTGTGTTACGGCAAATGAGTCATGCTGTCCCTTAAAATTCAGTATATGGGCAGACAAAAAAGATCCAGTCCATGGAAAAGGAATATGCAGCATCATTCTTCTATGACCCTTATTGCAAGATAACAGTGAAACCAAACAAAAACCAGTAGAAACAAAGGTCAACACACTATAAAGTTTCACCTGTCGGCATTTACTTCAGTTTCCTCTCTCTGAAAATCTTAAAGGAGAAGCAGATGACAACATGATCTCATTGGTGCTAGTTTTACATCAGATAACCAAACCACTTAGAATATTCTATTTCTAACAAGATATTTTAGTACAGAAATACAGTAAATACTTAGGAGCATTATTACATACTCCAGCACGGATGACCATCTTTAACAGGGTGCATAGCTATCCAGTGTCAACAGATACAGGGAGCTAGCTACATTTTCTACAAGTTCTACTGAACAGTTCATCTTCACTTACGCTCTAGTTCAAGGAATTGTATTTTAA